TATCACCCACCTGCATCTATGGAGAATTGGCGTCAGGAGGTAAGTATGAGAAGCCAGTAGACGAAGTTTGAGCAGAGTTATGCTGAAGGAACCACGATTCGTCGAGACCGAAGTGGCCTACTTAGCTCTGAGTAACGACGAATATACTGCCATAAGACAAAACGACGCAATATAAACAATCCCAAACAGTCATGATTTAGTAGTTCTTTGAAATACATCAATAGAAAATAGAAACAGAGCAATGGGTACCGAGTAAAGCTCCATTCGTTTTAAGAAATATCGTTGAATGCAAGAGCTGGATGGAAGGATTGACAACAAGCTATGTGAGGTAATAATGTGAAGGTGTGGCAGGTCAGTGAGCCTATAAGAAATATGAAAATTTACTTTACATTTCAATACTTACCTCTATCTTTGCAAGCTTGACTTTTCTCCTTCGACTACTTACTCTCAAATCTTTTGAATGGAAGGAATTTCATTCTGAGTTGCTGCCCGTCAGTACCGCAGCTCAAGTTGTACAGTAGGCAGCCAAGAAGAAGGTATATAATTGGATAGAAAATGCTACAGGACAATAGAAAAGAAATTACAGTTGTGAGGAAACGATCACATCTTGTCTCATTGTCAGAAGAGAACAATTTTCTTCCCAGAAAATTCGTGTCATTTATTTTTTTAAAATCCCTATATCTCGCTTTAATGAAAATTATCAGCATGTTTTTAAAATATTTCATATGCGCAAACTTGGCAGGGATAAGGGATTTGTCGCTTTTCACATATAATTATGTATACCCCAGAGAGTGCAATCGGTCCATATTTTAATAGAACTGTTCAGTGCCTTCTTGGAATCCATTTACAAGTACAGGATAATTCCGAAGACAATGTGCTTGTTAAGCTTGATTAACATGGAATAAGTTGGACGACTAGTTGTTTTAGTTTTTTAAAATTTCTTCCCCCAATGAAACTTGGTTCGATTCCTTCAAAACTAAATTTCAGGGCATTTTTCACCTTCTCATTGATTGTAATCAGACCTGTGTACTTTAAATACAACTATTCGTACAGAGCGAGTACCCGCATTGATGGATGAAGTTGCTGTTTTCGGATTGAGAAGATTCTCTTTGAACACCTTGGTACTTTTGACAATCTGAGCGATCAGAGGGGCGTTTGCACTTTATTAAATTAGCGCAAGATCCACAATCCGAATGCGAGTTTTTACAATTCAAGGCAACTTGTAAAGGTATTTAAGAGAGACCTTATATGACGCACTTCGCAACAATGTGAAAGAAAGATGGTCTAAGATTTGGAGAAGATAAAGTAAGCTCAAACCGTACTCCTGATTTTTGCAGGAGAACGTAGAGTGAGTGTTTCATGGGTTCCAACATTTTGTCAGCGATCACTGCAGTAGGGAATGAATGGATGACAGGCGGTGCTTTAAAGCGAAGTTTTTTCCGAGGATGCTTCAAAACTTCGGATAGACTGATTTCATGGTGTAACGTGAGATTTCAAGCTCCTTCGTCAGGCTGGTCCGCGATCGTCGTATTGACGATAAACGATCACAGATGTGAGAAAAGAAGTAGCATCAGCATCATAAATTGTTGCAACACTATCATTGTAGGAAAAGCTTTCCAATTAAAAATTTCTTTTCATTTACTATAGTCACATAAGTTTCAGTAGTAGAGGTGATGGTAGCTTCTATTGCTTTCATCAAATTGAATCTATTTCTGCTTAGGCTAGTAGCTAGGAAAATTTGAGGTGGGTCAAAATGACTTCGTGATGGGCTAAGAAACTGATTACAATAGCCTTAGCTTAAGCATATCAGTGTGGAGACCCAAGAGGAAATTTTTCCAAAGTTTGTACGTACGATTATCATACGATTATTGAAGTGATACGGTTGAAAAGAATGGAAAAAAGTAATTGGAAAGCACATTAATATGGAGATTTGCAATAGAAATTCCATAAAGTCAGTGAGTATAAACAGCTTATGTGAGCGAAAGAAGCTATGAAAATGATCGATAGAGTTCTTCACTCAGTCTCGTTATTGCTTGAAGGAGATACACAAATGAACAAAGCGAACTGAGCCTTCTCCTGATTAACGTTGCTTCCGTACACGCACTTACATATTTTGAGTAGGAATATTCTTCATCGAAGAAATGCATATTCTTCCTACTTCCCTTGAAAGCAGCGTTCAGGATAAGAATGGTTTCTAAGACATCTCCTAGGGTGAACATGGCCCAATTGAATACCATATGTGGCGCTGTCAGATCGGAAAACGTCCTGCATAGGGCATCGTAAGGGCTGAAAGATTGTATCGACTGTGTGCCACACCCAACAACGGACGAGTTTTAACGGCATTCTAGTTCCTGTACTACTTACAAGAGGCACCCATGTTGAAAATTGAAACGATCCTTTGGAAACTGAAGCATGAGTTACAGCCCACTGCTCAGGCCAGTCATTCTCAAAAGAAGGGTGGGTAATCGTCCGATCATTGCGACGTTTGGTACAAGTGGACAGCGTGCGCCGAAATTACGGGCGTCCATTCATAGCGTTGTATTTGAAGCCTCTGAGCTAATAATGACAATGGAATCTACATGAACATTATGTACGGTTTATGTGTTTGCGTGTATGTATGGCTTTCTTACATTATGTACATACATCAACAAGCAACAATTTCAAAATACCCTTCATTAGCACTGACAAAGAGCTGAAGTTTGCACCCGAGCTGCTCGTATGTTGCTTACAGATACCCCTCCTCCATTCCTTGCCAGCCTCTTATTGAGTCCAGCTTTCAACGACTCTGAACTGGGATTGCATACCATACAGGTTTTCTTCTGCAAACCATACAAGTTCTCCTTTTGCAAATCATACAGATTCTCTTATAATCAGGGACCATACAGAAGATTTATGAAATTACGATCTTGAGAACAGGATAGCCATTTCTCCACTGTAGTGAAGTCGGGAGGCTGGCATCAGCGCACTCTTTGGCGAGTTTGGCTCTCGCTTCTGTACGTCTATCAGGTGCTCTTTAATAGGTCTTTGCCAATTTCACAGCGGGAGCGGCAAAACCACCTGCGTCTTATCGTTGCCCATGATTTCAATCCCAAACCATTATTTCTTTCTATTGTTATAGTTATAGCAACCTTTTCTTTTTTTTTCTGAGGAATAGNGCAACAATTTCAAAATACCCTTCATTAGCACTGACAAAGAGCTGAAGTTTGCACCCGAGCTGCTCGTATGTTGCTTACAGATACCCCTCCTCCATTCCTTGCCAGCCTCTTATTGAGTCCAGCTTTCAACGACTCTGAACTGGGATTGCATACCATACAGGTTTTCTTCTGCAAACCATACAAGTTCTCCTTTTGCAAATCATACAGATTCTCTTATAATCAGGGACAATACAGAAGATTCATGGGATTACGATCTTGAGTGCAGGACAGCCATTTCTCTACTGTAGTGAAGTCGGGAAGCTGGCGTCAGCACACTCTTGGCGAGTTCGGCTCTGCGGGAAGGAGTTCTGTCTTGCTGGGAGGCTTCAGAAGGTAGAGATGGATCACAGCTTCTGTACGTCTATCAGGTGCTCTTTAATAGGTTTTTGCCAATTTCACAGCGCTAGCGGCAAAACCACCTGCGTCTTATCGTTGCCCATGATTTCGATCCCATTATTTCTTTTTATTGTTATAGCAACCTTTTCGTGAGGAATAGCACTCCTACATAAAGTCATCGTTTCAGTTGCTGAAGATTACTCGTGTCGTAACGATTTTTCCAAACGATGCTAGGTTGCGTGTCTCATCTTGAGCGAGGCAGCAAGCTTCTACATTTTTTTTGTTTCTACACTGTCAGTTCACGTAAGAAATAGAGTAGCATTCCAGCATATAACAAGAAAGACAGTGAAGCTTTTGGATGACAATCCGCCCTATCAAAGTCTCCGATGAGTCCTGCTCCGTTACCATTTTTTTGATAGATCATTCAACCCTACGATCGACTCACAGACGGACTAAGTTGATTGTCCTATCTTTGGGAATACTTGCCTTTTTAACCCTATTCGTATTCTCTTGAGTTGATCCTGCTTCTCTGTGTCGTTTAATTACCTTCTGTCCACTCACTATTGGAATCACAAGAGATTTTACTATGCCCTTCCTATCCATGCATTCAAATGATTGTATGTGGCTTAATGAGCCTCCGCCGTCTGAAAGATATCGTAGTTTCGCTCAGTAATTATGCGTATTGCTAGAAACTCTACCTGAACAACTATGAAATATCGATGAAAATGAAATTAGAGAAGCATTTCTGCCTTAGAAGTTCCTGAAATTTGATGCNTGCTTGATATTGGATTACCTATGAAAAATTATCCTACTTTTCAGACTAAACTTCTCTTGGAAGCTTCATGAAGCGTAAGATTTGTTTGTTTTCTACAAACCTACCAGTTAGCCCCTTGAAGCGTAAAAATGGAACAAAAACATCGAATAGAAACAAATTCGAAATGGAATGCTCGGTGACAATTGCTCGAATTTTTTATTCACTCCCCAAGCATCTGATGCTTTTTAACGACACCACCATCGCGATATTGTAATTAGTCGGTTAAGCCAGTGCTGTTGCCTTCTTCGGGATTGTTCATGCAAATCATTTGCTCTACAACATTCGTCCTACAAAAGGCACGTCATGGATAAAAACGATATTGCGTGTGCCATTTCACGATCTATGGCCAAAAATATAAAGTAATGGGGAAAGGTTGTACTAGGGAGGAAATGCGGTTCGTATCAGTAAAGGTGAATCATTCTGCATAAAATCCACCCATCACAACTATCGCCACCTCAACTCCTTCTTCCCAACTTTTTTATCACCAATATGTAGTGAGCAGAGAACTAAAACATACGTGCATGATCCGACTTCCTCCTATACGGGATAGACAGTCGCTTAGGCCAGCTTCGCCTTCCATCACTCTGAGGTCGGTTAATTGATACCAAGTTCGTCTGGAAGTATAAAAGCCCTGACTTGTTTGTAGGCTGGCGACCTCAAGTCAATGTAGGCATTATAGGCATTCCAATCGCCACTACAGGAATGGTTAAAGCCAAGACGGCTTTGCGCGGGCTTTATGTAGTGAGCTTTCCTAGTAACTCTTTACAAGACCAGTTATATTTTCGCAAACAATCAAATAACTTCCGTGAACTACAGCTTTTAAGAGTTTTTGCAAGCTATTGGTGTGTGTATTCATGATACTGAATTCTCGCCTGATACGTTTCAGGCATGGAAAACGAGTAACTTAAAGTCTTTCATTTATTTCAAAATCTTTTTTTCCATAAAACCATCTCAAGACGAAAGTGATAAATTCAACGAAGAAATCAACTGAAGAAAGTCCCGTCTACAGCAAAAAAGGTAGATGAGAAAACATAAAGTTTTCATGAAAAGCCGTTATCGAAAGTTTTTGTAAACGTCGACCATTCGAGATGATGGCCACTTTCCATTCCTTTTGACGTTATAGTGGGACCTGTTCCAAGTAAAATTCTTTGATGGATGGTCGAGATACCAATGTGGTCCATACTCGGCCTAAATCGGAAAATGATACATTGTTAGCGCGGCATGCATAGTATATCGATATGGTTATCGATAGGACATGTAAAATACTCTGGCACGGTCGGCCGGTTCACAACGAGAAGTCATCAAAACCTTGAATTGCGACTTCACAGTATTTAGATCGATTCGTTGCTGATTTGCTATTGTGTTCGAGTAGATCAAATGTTATTGAAAAGAAAAACCGATGAGTGCTAGCCTAACTGTACTGGTTTATAGACATACTAGTTGAAATGTGTGCGTTACAAGAAAGAACCCGATGGACAGATATGGTTTTTCTCGGTCTGAACTCTAGCCCTCCGGAAACGGATATAGACTGTGGTGGGTTATGAGTTCATGTTTCTCTGGAACGCTCAACTCATTGAGTCTGTGAGAGAGGAGTCTCCATCGTCTGATTTGTTGAGGTATTCTTAATCTCTGGGAGGAGGTGGTGTAGTGGTAGGCGGCGCATATGATATCATTGACCCTTTTTATCATTGATCTCTACCCATTTTCTGATGGCCGGGCGTTTTGGCAAAATCACAAACTTGCCCGGGGCCTCAACAACTCTGAGCTTGAATGACCTTCTCGGGTAATACCGAATTCCGAGACAGATAGACAAACAGAAGCGAATTCTCAGCATATAGTGAGCAATGATGATGGTTTCAATAGATGTAGGAAATGATGACGACTTCATATATAGAACCATTTTGGAGCATAGGAACGTCCCCGGACAAAGTTCAAAGTTCGAACTCACCTCGACGACTTTCCTTGGATTGCAAGGCACCCAAAAGATATGCCCTAGAAGATCACCAGCGCACGTCTCATCATGCCTAGAATGAAAAAAAAAGTTTACTAATAAGAAACCCTGTTGTTCTAACGTATCCACGTACGAATAAGATAGAGCAGCCTGCGGTGGAGAATGACTAGTGCAAATGCACTATTCGGCACTATTTACCCTTTACTGCCCCACCTTGTCGAGAATGGGCTAGATTTCTACCGAATTTTTTCAAAGGAGATGAAACCGGCTAGAAACTTGCCTACAGGGGTAATTTGACCCGTAGAACACGAATATTCTATCCATTTGTCATAAAGATGCCTAGTGCTTGCGCTACAGGCGCCTGCGCCAAATCGCTGGGTCACCGCTCCTGCTGAAAACTTGCCCCTAACTAGTGTCCGAGGTGTTTTCATGATGAGTGGATGCGATATTCGTGTTCTACGGGTCAAGTAACCCCTGTAGGCAAGTTTCTAGCCGGTTTCATCTTCATTGAAAAAATTCGATAGAAATCCAACAGTTTCTCGACAGAGTGGGGCAGCAAAGGGTAAATAGTGCCTGAATTTGAATTGCATAAGGATGCGACTTGTTGTAGAATTACGTATTTTGTTCTACTCTTAGCCTCACGGAAGCAAATATAAAGAGCTTATAGTAGTACGATTTTGTTGAAAATGTAGCGAGTATGTAGTACTGTGAGGAAGGCACACGAGTACTTTACAAGATGTTTGAGAAAGAATACGCTAAAGCGTTATAGGCAGAGTTCGCGATAATCTTGAGGTATCCGGATAATAAAAGTGATACTCTAAAATGTCCTTACAATGATAACAAACAAAACGAAAAAATGGCTATTTCAAAAAAAATACTAGAATTACTAGAAAAACTGAACAGATGGTCATTATTGCTTCCTTTTTACTAATTCATTGTGATGAGTACAATGAATGTGTAGCTATAATTCAATGTCGATGGTTGTAGTTGCGTTATTTTACTTGTTTTATCTCATTGAATGAATATTGTAAATGAACATGGATGTTGTAGATGGAGTGAATATTGTTGAAATCCAGGCGCAGTATTTTTTTAATGTTAACTTTATTAGCTCTTACTGTTTATCGTAATGAATACGTTCATACATTATAATTCAATGTTGAGTATGTTCTAATTGCATCGTTTCACTCGTTTTATCTCACCAGTGGGGCTAAGCACGCTAATGCGTGCACAACATGATCACTCCCGCTTACCTACGACT